TAACTTCCAAGGCCAAGGTAACTGTGTTAGAAAAATTGACCTTGTGCAGGTATGTCAATTAGAAATGCCTGAAACACGTCATCACAGGAACACTTCCTTGGAACATCTACAATCTTCATGAAGATATGAGAAGGAATCATGCATGAGAAAATGCAAACAGTAGGGAATAGGAAGATATAGAGACTATTGAATACTCATAGTGACTTAATTTTATCTTTCTGTCCAAGAATTAAATTTAACTTCTGAGGACAGGAAGCTTAATAGTGCAATATTTAATGAGCATTTTTGTGCTGCATTTTCCTCAGATCAAATAATAAGCAGGATGGCGCAAGATTATTTTAAGTTCTATTTTTCAACTCTTTAAAGTTCATTCATTTGTCGGATTATAACGTTCCTTTAGATGATTTCTCTCATAATTTTAATACAAATCACTGTACACAGAAAATTTATAAGGTATTGATCTGCCTCTTCATCTGTGCTGTAATCAAAACCATTCAGGAGAAGTTGAAGCTTTAAACCAACATTTAAATAAGAAAGCAAGATTTGCTTCTCTGGTGTCACTATGGCTATTTAAGAAAAGTTATCTGATGTCTAATTAAATCAAAACTCTGAAAGTTTTTCTCAACAATATAGCTAAATACATTTAGTCCTTGTTCACTGATTTAGAAATCATTTTGTTATGTTTTAAGTTTCCATAATTTTCTACATTTACATGTATGTGCATGATTTACTACTTATAATTTGACTTACAAAGGTCACCAGTCTTAGTTTTGTTGATATTTTTCTCTTGACTTAATATTTTTTGTTTTATTTTTTCCTACTTTCATCTTCACTTCCTTCCTAATGATAATTTGGGGCTTTATTTTTTATTTTTCTAATTCCTTGAGTTACACCTCTTCTTTGACACTCCCCTTCAAAAAATGTGCTATTTTCTACATAATTTGTTAATTTTTTAGTTTTTGTTCTGCCATTGATTCTTACATGCACATCACTGTGGCTAGAGAAGATAGTTGTAATGATTTCAAACATTTAAATCTGTTAAGACTTGCTTGTTACATAAAATGTGATCTCCTCTAGAGAATCTCACATAAGAAAAGTATACATCCTGATGCTACTAGATGTTCTACATCTTGTTAATTCCATTTTGTTGAGTATTTTGTAAGTCTACTATTTTTTTGCTAATTTTATCTTGTATGTTTCTATTCATTACTGAAAAGTACTGCATACTGAATACTTTTACTTTTATTAAATTAGTATTACTGTCTTTAATTCTTTCAGTGGTTGCTTTCTATATTTATGTGAGCTCATGTGGCATATACCTAAAACTGTTCTATCTCCTTAATAAATTGACCTTCCTATATAGTACCATACTGTTTATGTAGCAGTTTTTGACTTAAAATCTATATTCACTGAGGTATTGTCATATTTTTCTTCTTAATATTACATACATGAAATACGTTCTCAATTTATTTCACTTTCTCAAATAGAACAGTGAAGATACTGTTCTACGTGAAATAAGCCAGCTTCAGGCAAATATTGCACAATCCTTGTATGATTCTATGTGTATTAGCTTTCTAAAATTCTCCATTGCATAAAAGCAAAGAGTGGAATGGTGGTGGTACAAGGTTATTGGTAGAGTAGAAAATTGCTAATCAACAAACATAAAATTTTAATTATACAAGATGAAGTTCTAGAGATCAGCTATACAACACTGTATGTAAAATCTGTAACAATTCATTCTCCACATAAAATTAATTGTAAGTAAATGTTATGTTAAATGCATTACTAAAATATTTCTTAATTACAAGAACAATTTCCTGAATTAAGTAAAACATAAGTATTTGACCAAATGAGTATTTTGCAATAGGAAACATTAGTTATTGTCACCTAATATGACTCTATAATGAGAACTGTAAAATATAATACATATTTTATAGAAAAATATTAAAGTTGAATTTTCAGTCAAAGGATGACTAAGTTCAAGTTCTTAGTTTTACTTTAATTTTAGTTAAAGAGTTAATCAATAGAAAGCTTACATTAACAGCTTCATCTTCAGTGATAGTTTCATCTATTGTTACGTTGGGTAAGTCTGGCCAAACCTACAGTATAAGAATAAAAAATGTTCAAAGCAAATTTAGTATGATGTTATTGTGATGAAGATTAGGAGAAATATATAGAGAGACATCTTATATTGTCAAGATCCAAAGACTGATAATCACTTCTATTTTTGAAGTTTGCTTTCTTGCATTGCATGACTTGTACCCTGTCCCTATTTTTCATATTACTCTGTTCTACAACATAGGAAACATAAAAAGCAATGTCAACATTTGTAGTGGTTAGTGATTTTGGAAACAGTATATGTAATTAATAGATTCAATTAAAAATAATATAAACAGCGAGACAGCTCAGCAGTCTAAGTGCCTGCTTAGGCAAGCTGAGGAAGGCACTGGGGACCTCAGTTCAATTCCAGACACCACATGCCATTCCAGCCCCACTCACAGGGTAAGTTGATCCAAAAAAACCAGTATATATATATTAGAGAGATAGTATATACTAAATTTAATTTAATGTGATGTAGAGAAATATTCTAAAATTACTCCAAGATTAAGAGCTAAAAGCAATAAATAATATTCATTAAAAATACTTGAAGATTTCATTGAATAATGTCATGCTAAAGGATATAAACCCATTCATTTTTTGTTTGCTTTTTGTTTGTTTTTGTATTTTTTAGGGAAGGGTCTACAGGGTGTTCAAGGTCACACTACTGGATTGAACTCCTAGTGATCCTCCTGCTTGTAGTCTCCCATGAGCTGGGATTACAGGCAAATGCCACCACTCCCAGTCTCAACAGCCATGTCAATGTGCCCTGGGGATGGCGGTGACAGGTCAGACCCAGGGATCGAACCTCTGGCCCCTTCGCCTGCTTTTAGGTGCTGTAATCTGCTGAGCTATTTGGCTGACCCTAAACTCATTCATTTTTATAGTGTTAAATCTTCTACCTTCTCCCTACCTCTCTGCTTTTTTTACTTCCTAGAAAAGCTTTTCTGGACTCCATCCAGAATTACAAAACAAAGTATAAATTTCATCATACTGAAAGCTCCAGAAACTTGAATCTATATTGAAAAACCTAGATAATGAAAATACTCCTTAACTAATTAGGGTTGAAGAGCTATTAAATATTAGTAAGGAATAATGCTTAAAGTAAGGACAAAAATCTGAGGGAATATGTAAATATGTAGAATAATGGGAAAGTAAGAAAAGAAAATTCTTCTATGTCCAATATGCCACACCCTATAATAGCATGACTCTTAAATTGCTATTATATTTCACTACTTTCATCACTCATTTTTATCATTTTATTTTGTAATATGTTCAACTTACAGAAGAGCTTCAGAAATTGAATCTAGAATTGTATTCCTCTCACTCAGTATCTTCCAATATTAACATATTATACAACATATTTCATAAAACAATAATTAAATGATTAACCTAGATGAAATATAATTATATAATCTATAGATTGTTTTAATATCACCTCCATTATCACTAATGTATCAGTCTTAGCATACAAAAATTCATTCAATCTCTGTCTTCCTTCATAGTAGTTTCTGAGTTATTTTAATTCTAGACATTACTACTAGTTGTTTTATTCTTCATTTTTTTAAAGAAAAAGTAAACTATGTTCTACGCTATTTTAGTATATTCAGGTCTAAATGTTATTACTTTTATAACACTTAGTTAAAGCTATTCTTTATTCGTGTTAGCAATACAATTTGTACAAATACCGCTACTTTTATTACAACATACACAAACACTTGAATGATTCTAGCAGCATGAAATAATAATAGTTTTTAAATTAAACGGAAAAGGTACAAAGAATTAAAATGCAGCTTCAAGATAAAACAAATTGCATGTGGTTTATGATTTTTAGGAATTCCTGATCTGTGCCTAGTAATTTATATTGAATTGGAAAAGTGCACATTGATCATTTTTACTTGTTAAATCACTGTGTATTCATTTACCTTTCCCTCTGAATATGCTTCAAGTCTTTAAATTAATTAGAAACTGTCAATGAACTAACATTTTCACAATTATTCTGCTTCAAGACATTAACTTAATACCTTTGCCCAACAAATGTCACTGGTGTTAGGCCATTTGACAAAGACATCTTTCTGCAACCCTCTTTCAAATGCAGGATAAGGTTCTGTTTCATTTCCTGAAATAGCTGGATCCTAAAATCAAAATAAAAGATAAACAGAATGCATATGGAATAAAAGCATAACTCCTTGGGTAGCCATTTTAAATCACTGTAGTTTTCCATTATTATATTATAACTTTTTGTGCTGTCACTCAGGCAAACATTACTGCTATAGCTAGATTGTCCCCTGCATTCCTTAGAAAATTCTAACTACTTTTAAAAATGTGTTATGCATAATTATAATCAAGCCTATTACAGTTTCTTTGCTTAGGTCTTTATTTCCCTGATGAGACTTTTAGTAATCCAGCTTGCTTCCTATAAAACACTGATGAAATATTGTGAACTATTAACATGAACAAAACTAGAAAGCATCTTGATATGTATGCCCAGAGATAGACTCATATCTCTAAAAATGAACCTGAGTACAAGCCTAAGCAGATAAAATGAAGGTTTATAGGAAGAATGTTTTATATTTGTGATTAGAATCCAAAGTTATATACTTCCTACCTAGAAACACTTTCCCTTCTCTCATTTTAAGTGAATCAAAAGAAGTATGACCAGGTACAAAGAAATACTCACCAGGATAATGATGTATCTCATTCCTTCTCCTCTTATTTTCTCAACAAACCGAGGAAGTTCACGAAATCTTTCACCAATTGTGAAGTCCAGTTGCCTCTCCATGTAATTAATGTCTGTGTATTGGACATCCTGAAACACATGTGTGACAATAGGTGAGAAGCACGTTGCAGTAAGTACATCATATTCTATTACTCATGAAAGTAGCAGCAAGATGAAGGCTTCAGGTCCTCTTCACTGCATTCTAAAGAGAATTACTAAATTACTGCTGTGCTCATGAAATAAAAGTGGAACCCACAGATGTACAACAAGAATAACCATACATCATTCTGTTTTGCCAAGAATTCACCTAGGGATTTAGCTTTATAGCCAAATATTCTAGATAAGTATATTTTTGTTAAGTACTTGTTAAGGGAAATAGAAAAATAAAAAGGTAAAACTATTTATGATGTGATGAAACTAAACTGAAAACCTGAAATTTCATATGGTGCACATAAAAATAAATGTTGCCATATTTTTAAGAACTATCAAGGAATTCTGGAAAATTTTCAAATAGTTCTAATATTGGGAAAAAATCCGCCAAATAGTGTAAAATTTATATTATGTATAATATAAATTTAGAATGACCATCTAGTTTAAATAACCAAAATATTATTTACAAACAGACCCTCAGAAATATATTTCAACTAATCTTTAATCTGGCCTGAAAAAAATGAGTTTTTAATTATTTTCTGTTTGATTTATTCTCCTACCTATTAAAAATATGGTCAATATAGTAGGATAGAAACCAAAAAGCCTTCTTTTTATACTTATGTTCAGAATGTATTCATTTATCAACATTTCTACAAATAACTTTTCCACAGTAACATATTCTTCAATATTGGGCTCCACTGTACTTTACTAATGTCTTGTAATAAAATTATTTTTATTTTTCTTAAAAGGAACTCTCATATATAGATTTTGTATTTCAGTATTTGATCCTAGGAGAATCCTTGGGATTCTCCAGTCTTGTTAACAGGGAGAATTGCAAGGGCTAATTATTTGTGGTTTTCAGGAACATGTATCTTGCCAGTCTTGAGTGTAGACAACATGTTGAAAAGACTCTTATTCTCCCAGCACCACATGCCATGCAGGCCCCACCCCCGGGGCACACTGAGACAGCAAATGAGACTAGGCATGGTGGCATGCGCCTGTAATCCCAGTGCTTGGGAGGCTGAAAATAGGAGGATCACTACAAGTCTGATCTATGTAGTGAGACCCCGTAGAGCCTATACTAAATACATAAATAAAAAAATACCCTCTTAATTCTATGTTATACATTACAAATATTATTTACTCCAGGACTGAAATCACCAGGTTACTCCCAATTCCTCCTCTGTAATTTTTGTATGATCAATGGGTAATATCGATAACTGTAGATTTGCTCTGACATAAGGAGAACGTGCAGAATGCTCTTATACATACAACCAAAATTTATGGAAGCAAATTACGTGCATGAAGATTTGCACAGTACAACACAGGATTGAAGAACTGCAGAGAAGAATGGAAAACACATAACGCTATCTTTTCTTCTTTAACAATTTGATAAAGATACGCCACAATCTGATAGCTGGTTCAAAAATGTTACTAAAAATTAAGTATTATTAATTGCTTAAAATAATTCAAAATTATATGCATGTTTAAGCATTCCATTTTGCTTTTATATAGTCCATGTTTCCTACTATCCTAAAAATTAATATACATACATAAGGGATCTCAGCAGACACCATGTCATTATAAAGTTGTTCAACCTCTGAAGTATTTCTGTATCCATAACGACATAACTGGAATCCTAAAGACCAATATGGTGGCATGACTGGATGGCCAATTACCTTTAAAAAAAGTTACATATCAAATAAGAGAATTGCTTTGGAATATAAAGAAAACTTTGTATTTTAAAAAACAATTATGTCATACTTCATGGTACTGCACTGTTGCAACTTCAGGAGTTGGGCCCAAAAACATGTAAAAATCCAATATTCCTCCAACCGTACGATAAGTTAGAGCAGGAGTTGGCTGGAAAGTGACATCTATAAAACAAAGGGAGATTCTATTTTTATCTATGTATGAGGCATTAATTTGTTAAGAAGTCATACTTATATTTTATATGGAAAATTGAACAAATGATTCTGTTACCCATTGCATTGCTGTTGAGTAGGAGGACACCATGAGCATTGCCTTCTTCTTCCAGAGCCATATAATAGGGGTGGAATCCGTAGGAATTCATTTTATACTGAAATTTTAAAAGTATGATACAAACTTAATAACATGATTTCAGTTAATGATGTATTAAAATTCATTATGTAATTAAGCCTTATGATTTGCACCTTTTTGTCATATACCCAAACTTTACATTAGCCTAAATGTTTTTGAAAATTACTGCTTTAGAACATAAAAATGAATAAATGAAACTAAATAAATAAGGATGTGCTATGAAAATATACTAACTCCACAAAAGGAATGTAGACATTATGTACTGCAAACATGTATTAGTAAAAGATATTTTAAAAATCTGCCACATTAACTGACATAGAATTCCATTGAAATTGGAATAATTGTATTTCTTTCCACAAGTTTTGTGGTGCTATCTTACTTGATTTATAAAGTAGAAACTCTTAGAGCCTGAGACAAAGAACAAAAGTTCAGGCCCTACCTGAGTCACTTTGTGGCTTAACAAGACCCTGTCTCAGAATAATCAGAATAAAAAATAACAAAAGGAAGGTGAGAATGTAGGTCAGTGGAAAGCTCTGAGTTGAATCCCTAGAAGAAGGAAGGAAGAAAGGAAAGAAGGGAAGGAGGAAGGGAAGGAAGAAACAGAAAGAGAAGAAGATACAAGAGAGAAAAAAAGAGATGCAAAAGGTAATAATTTTCTTTGACAAAATATGCTAGAAATTTTAAAAATAATAAATGTCATCAGAGTCCAGAAAATAAGATTGTAAAAGTAATAAACCTTTAGATTCATAAAACTTTAAATTCATTTTCCCACATTGGAATTTCAGCAACTTATAGCATATGAATGCAAATTTATATATTGAAAATGAAAATCATTTTAATCATATAATATGCTTATTAATATTTCAGAACTTGTTTTCTTATAAAATATATTTTATAAGAACAAAGAAGAAAAGTTCAGGCCCTACTTGAGCTCCATATGCATGGAGGGTTATAATTAACTTTTTTGTATGCAGTTTGTTAACTATTCATAAAATATAGTCAATTAATAAGTCAACTTTAAGAAAGTCTCCTAAGTACATAAAACATTTTTAAATATGTAACTAAACCACATATGGTGCAACATGCCTCTAATCCCAGCATTCAATTGATTGAGGCAGGAGACGAGAGAGAGAGAGAGAGAGAGAGAGAGAGAGAGAGAGA